CCCTATATAGGTTTACCGGATAGTCGCTATCGCCCGGCGTCGCATCTGTAGCCAGGACAACTTCGTCTTCTCTCTTCCTTCGGCTAGTCCGTTTGTTCTTTGCCTCAGGACGCTCTTTTGTCCGCTCCTTTTGGTGCCTCATCGGCTCCATACCGGCCACAATCAGGCCGTGGTTAGGCGAGGAGGAGGTTGTAGGCTGTTGTGGCTCAGCCGGAGCAAAGTGTGGAGTCGGTGGGGACGAGCACTGCACTGACGGCGGCGATACGGAGAGATAATCGAGGCGGGCGATCGCCTCGATCTCATGCAGATGGCGCTTTTCGTCCTGCCCACCGGACAGGTCGGATGAGATCTGGTCGCCAGCGTCGAAGGAGATCAAATCGACGCTGACCTGCTGCTCTACCGGCCCTCGCGAGGAGGGCGATGGTACCGGAGGCTTTTTGTGCTGCTGCAACTTTTCGAGGCGGCCTCTTGGCTCTGTCGCGGTCAGAAACATCGAGGCGGCGGGGACGGTGGGAAAAGCCGGGCCCAAGGAGAGAGAAGTGGAGGGCGGGCAAATAGAAGAGGAGGAGGAGGCAAACTGGTCGAAAGGGTCGTTGAATCCAACCAAGGGCTGATCATCAGGCAAGCAGGTTTGTGTGTGGGTTGGTGTGTCGAATGGATTGCTCACGTCGATCAACTTTGGAAAAGTAGCGGAAGAGATATAAACAAAGAAAAAAATTAAGAAAATAAGAGAAATTTTAATTAACCTTCTCCTTCGTTAACCAGCAAAAGGATACATACGTGCGTAAACGCAGTATAGGACGAGAGCAGGCAGTGATTAAAAAGCAAGGGTAAAAAGGCGAAATGGCAAGGAACCGGCCTAAAAGATGATGGAAGCAAGCGAGCTGAAAAGATAAATTATAAGAGAAACGGCAACAACGTTTGCATAGGAATTGAACAGACCATAACAATCTTAACAGATATTTTTTGTTCATAAGTACGTTTTCATCTCGTCTCATGTATATGATACCAGCACATGATGTAGCTTATATTGGAAACCGAATATTGTCTATTGATACAGATAGGCAATCGAACGTTTAGTGCTTTTATTGCAGTCGTTTGTCGCGGAGATTTCACTTTGTATGAATGTGCAGGGTGGAGAGATTTGTGGCTCGATCTCACC